ACTCCAAACAAGATGTGTTTGAGGTCATAACAGGAGTCTGGGTGCTGTGCCAGCATGACATTACAGCCTGGATCCTCTTGAATGTTGCCTTTGTTTCCTCCCCCAGATCTGTGTTAGAGGCTCCAGCGGGATCCCTTTCCTCCGCCTGTGAAATGAAGCCCAGGACCCTTCCACCCTCCCCCAGACACGTCTCAGTTTTGTAGTCCTTCAGAAATTTGGACTGTTTCAGCAGCGAACTCTCGCAGGGGAAACAATAAACTCAGACAACACAAACTGAGACATTTTGAACAATTTACAAAAACAAAAGCAAGCTTTCAGTTTGCAGCTGCTGCCAAATTAACAGGTGCCAGTAACAGTGTTGCGCGCCTCATTGCATACCGCAATCACACCTTGTGCTGGCAGAAAAAAGTCAATGCATATTGAGCATATTGAACTTGTTCATCTTAACTGGTGAGTCAACAAATTGTGTTTCAAATCCTCAAAGAGGTTTAAAGTTATTGCAAAACTTTTGGTCTCAATATCTGAACTTAAGGTCTCTTAATTCTTTGAAAGCATAAGAAAAGCAAACAGCCAGATGAGTATTACTAAAAATATTTGCCATAAATAATCAGACTATATTTATAGATCAGTTTGTGTTTACATGGGACAGCAGTACATTGCTTAATGCTTTGGAGCAGATTTAACCCTGGAGAACCCATGGGGTCAGAGCCGACCCCATTGGTTTTCTAGGGAAACCATGGGGTCAAATTTGACCCCATGGTTTCTCCAGGGTTAAACACTGCAGGGTTTCTCCTTCAGTAAAAAAATGTTGGCATCCATTAAAGATAGTTTGGCTTTTCACCAAGGAAAAATTGCCAGTAGTGAAGCTTGAAACACAGTCAGGTCGTGGAGGCAGCAGACTAAATAGGGTATTCCAGATGTTGTTCTCCCCAGCCACATTTTACAGTTCCTTCTGGGGGATTCCAAGGTATTCCCAGACAAGACAGCATTAAAAAAAAAATCCCCTCTCATCCCAGCAGGTGGTCTGTTCTTCAAGCTCGGGTCCTCCACCCGAGGCCTGGGAGCTTGAGGCTCCTGCGCAGTATCTTAACTGTTCCTAGGACTGCACTCTTCTGGACAGAGATCTCGGATGTTGTTCCTGGGATCTGCTGGAGCCACTCGCCTAGCTTGGGGGTCACCACACCGTGCACTCCAGTTACCACTGGGACCACTGTTACCTTCACCCTCCACATCTTCTCGAGCTCTTCTCTGAGCCCTTGGTACTTCTCCAGCTTCTCATGTTCCTTCTTCCTGGTGTTGCTGTCATTCTGTATCGCTACTATGCCTAGTTGGTTAACCACCACCATTTTGTCCGTATGTATCTGGTAGTCCCACAGGATCTTAGCTCGGTCATTCTTGACCACCCTAGTGAGCGTCTCCCATTTTGACTTCGGGACTTCCCGGCCATACTCGGCACAGATGTTTGTGCATACTATGCCAGCCACTTGGTTATGGCGTTCCATGTATGCTCTGCCAGCTAGCATCTTGCACCCTGCTGTTATGTGCTGGATTGTCTCAGGGGCATCTTTACACAGCCTGCACCTGGGGTCTTGCCTGGTGTGATAGACCCCAGCCTCTATGGATCTTGTGCTCAGAGCTTGTTCCTGTGCTGCCATGATTAGTGCCTCCGTGCTGTCTTTCAGTCCAGCTTTGTCCAGCCACTGGTAGGATTTCTGGATGTCAGCCACTTCCTCTATTTGCTGGTGGTACATACCATGCAAGGGCCTGTCCTTCCATGATGGTTCTTCCTCTTGCTCCTCTTCTTGGGTTTCTGCTGCCTGAGGTATTCACTGAGCACATGCCAGCATTAGAAATGTGTACATCAGAGGGACAGGTCAGGTTGAGCAGGACCACTCTGTGTGGGACTCTCTCAGCCCTCCTAACTTCACCGAACATCCTGTGAGTATATGTCTTATTTATTTATATTTAATCTAAGTTTAGTCCAGGTCTACAGCTCTGATGTTAGGAGGAATTTTGAATTGCATCAGCACAAGCATGATTGCACAAGACCTTGTGTACTAAGTGAGCTGCAAAAGTGAGAACTGAAGCTGCAGAAGCTTTTATGAATGAGAAATTACAGTGTGGACAACTGTTATTTAATTGGTTTTAGTAAATTCATGTGAGCTTACAATGTGTGTCATTACGACATCCTACACAGGCCAGTGAGAATCACTACTGATGAAACTTAATCTGGCTAGTGATTGTTGTCGCTGAAAATGACTCACATTTTTTAGAATATGCTGCTAATTTGCTTATTATAGTGTCTCACATTAAACTGTGTGAGTAATCAGCCGAAATAAGTTTAACTTTCCCTGATTGATGTTTCAGGAAATCAGCATTTAATGATATATCAAAGAGAGGTGACTCATTCCCTCTGATTGCATGGCTTTGTAAGTGTGACGATATCAGGCATTTAATTGGAAACCGTGTATTATGGAGGGCAGCGGCAGCGCTATCATTCAGTGGGTGAGTAATTATGATGCAGTGACAGTTTTAAGGGACAGTAAAATACTCACTGTTGGAGCACAGGCTGGTAAGGTTGGTAATTATGCTGTAAGAAACTAAATTCTTTAACGATTTAACAGATCATCTTTCTGACTCTGGTTTATTAATTATATAAACGCTTGTTAAATTAAAGAAAAGGGGTACAATAACTATAATAAATGAATAAAGTGTTTAATCTCGTGTCTCTTTACTTCTTTGTGGGAAAAACACGATGTGTGAACAAGAAAATAAGTTAAAAATAACATTAAAATATATGTAGGAAAATTTTTCTGAATGGTTCAATTAAGTGAGATTCATTTTGATCAAGGACATTAAAAATGGTTAAATCAGACCTAAATCATTCTGGGTTTGTTCTGGCCAGCCAAGAACAGGAAACAGAATTAGACAGCAGAAGATTTGAAAAACATCGCCTGGTCTAATGAGTCTTGATCTCTGCTGCATTGTTCAGAAGGGTCAGAATTTGGTGTAAGCAGCATGGACCCATCCTGCCTTGTATCAACAGCTCAGGCTATGGGTGATGTGGGGATGTTTTCTTGCAACACTATGGGCCCCGTAGTATCAATTAAGAATCTTTAAACACTACAGCCCACCTGACACCTGAGTGTTGTTGATGACTGTGTCAATCCCTTTATGACCACCCATCTTTTGAAGGCTGCTTCCAGTAGGATAATGAACCATGTCACAAAACAAAGATCATCTCCACCTGGTTTCTTGAACATGACAACGAGTTCACTGCACTTAAGTGACATCCACAGTCACCAGATCTCAATCTAATTGAGCACCTTTGGGATCTGGTAGAATAACTACCAGGTAGAAAGTTTGACTAATTTGTACTGATCAGAAGCAGTCACACCAGGTGGGGTTAGTATCTGAGTTACTGATGGCGAACTAATAATCATTACCCAGTGATTTGTTATATCTACTACAAAGTCTTGTAAAGGGAGCGGACTGATCCATGACGATCTTTTCTGCTGGGTTCTATATTATTGTACAGGAGGGCCACAGGGAATCCATATATTATCTAAATCACCTCGCTGCCTCCTGTTATATGGGACAACATGGATTCTCAAAATGTTCTCATCTAATGTATCCATTCATATCCATGTATGGTATGCATATATGACAGTGGATCTGCAAAAAGTACAAAATGTTCAAATGCGATGTTGTTTTTATATAACTAAACAATATTTCTTCTTTGTGATCCACACAGATTTTCATTATTTTTGTTGTAATTCTCGTATCACATAGGAAGAGGAAAAGGGAAAAAAAACAATGCATTTTATTGATTTGAGTTATTAATTAACTCGACTTTGGTGGGATGGCTTTGACTTCTGGGCCACGTTTAAACCCTTGCATTAGACCATTATAATTGTAAAGTTAACTTCTGATTTAATGACACCGCTAATTGGTGTTTGTTATGCATTTGTATATGACCAAGTACTATAAATGTGTTTAACGTGCACACTGTCCCCAACTTGAAGGGGCATTAAGAGAAAAAAGTATATTCATACTAATTTTTTATATTTTTGATAATGGTAAATGATCAGGAGCTTATCATGAAGTGAGGGGGAAGAGTAACTTCACTATAAATAATGACCATATAATCAATATTGGGGGGTTGGTGCCCTATGCCTCCCTTCAGTACACGCTCCTGGTTGCTGTGTAATACAATCCTCGTTTGTGCACCATATCTTCATACCGACTATTAAAAATATTTGTATATTGACTAATTAAACTATTCAATCGGAAGAATTACTAATATGTTCTTATATAACGCAACATGTCTGGAGTGAATCTTTACAGTAAGCATGATTAAGTCAGACAGAAACCGGGGGAAGGGCTGTGGACGTTAACTGAGCACGTAACCGGGCCACGCTGTGCTCCGCGGTGACGTCACATTCCAGTATGTGCAGCTGAGTCGCAGTTTGGTCAGAAGAGGTCAAATATCCCCCAAACCCACCCAAAGGCTGCCAGTTCAACAAGAGATCAGGCGCTGCTGACGGATCATCTCCACGAAAATGGGCAACTGTCAAGTAGGCGTCATTCTCCTCCTAATCTCTCTGAGAAAAAACACTGATTAAAGGCTAGATTTTAAAAAAAAAAATCTCTTGGCTTCGCTGGTTTAAGTCTGTATGAGCCATACTTTCGGTTCGACCACCGCCAGGAATGACGGCTGGATTATGTCTTTGTAGGAGTTTAAAACATGTTTATTTTAGTCCGTATAATGCGAGCCGACCTCCACTTTTAAGGCTTTACGCACAACCCATTTCATCATACGGAACCTCTATTATTGCGACTACACTGACGATATAAAGAGCTGTGAATATAGATTCTCAGTTAGCACTGTTTCTTTAAGGTTCGACCCGGTCTAAACGTTGCAAATGACACCGTCTGGGAGACGCCGTATCGGGGTTTACGCAAAGGAAAGGGCCACTCCTTTGCGGAATTTCATCACGGTCCCGTTACACTTGTTCTGTTTTTCTTTAATGAGTTCGACTGTGCGCAATGAAAGGATTTCACGGGACGCTGTGTATTTTGTATCCTGTCCTATCACCATGTTAATTCATCAGTACAAATGGTTGACACTACTCTTTTTATTTGAGTGAGCAAATTCTACAGCTATACTTTTAATGATTCAGTGCCGGTTGTAGAGAGAAGAGCGTGAGATGAATTGTTTTTGTTAACACTCGACCACTGAAAAGTGCTAACCATACTAACCACTTCCTGGCTGCATTTTCCAGCCTGAAATGTAAAAAAACTAACAAAAAAACAAGTACAATATATTTTCTGCATCCACAAAGGCTTATCTCAGTGAAAACATATTCTATCCACTGCAAAAGACCTTGACTTTAAAACCTCATCTGAAAATCAGGGACTATTCAATATTAGTCATATTTAATATTATAGAAGGGCAGAGCAGAATAGTCCAGGAGATATCTTTCAGATGCTTCCTTGTATACTGCTATAGGTAATATGGCTTGAATAACTTGTGAACCTATAATATGTCAAACATTTTGAGGCAGAAAGAAAATTTCTGTGAGAAGTTTTTGGCAAAGTTCCTTTAAAAATGCTATTGATATATTTTAACTGGGAAAAGAAAAGAACTGGACTGATTAAAATGCAGAAAGAAGAATAGGTAGAATAAGGTCCAGTTATAAGGATACTTATTTATTTTATATGTAAGTATACAGGCTCTAATACATCCATAGACTCCGTCTGATATTTTGTTAAAAGTTGATTTGAGGTGAAGTTGAAGAATTCAAAATTCTCCACCTTTATTATTCCATCCACTTTGTGCAATGTAGCAGCACCACTGGCAGCAAAACAGCCCCAGCGCATGATGCTACCACCACCATGCGTGACAGCTGGTACAGTGGTCTAAGGTTTGAAAGTCTCATCTTTACTCCTCTTGTTATTGTAACCAAAATAGTTCAGTCTTTGTCTCGTCTGGCCATAAAAAATTTCCCCAGAAGCTATTTGGCCCGTCCATGTACGGGGCTGGAAATTTCAGTTGATTTTAAAGATCTTGACTTCACATTTTAAGATTTGCTGAGTGTTGTAAAACTCATTGCAATTATATTGTGATTTAACTGCAAATTATTATTATTATTAATTATTGTTAATAATAATTAATTTTTTTGTTTGTGCCTTTCAAAACACTCAAGGTCACCTTACAACACAAAAATCAGGATGATTATCACTGATGTGAAAATGAAAAAGATGAGTTTTGAGCTGAGATTTGAACTCTGTCAAAGAGTCAAGCTGACAAAAGTGTAGCGATAATGGGTTCAGAAACAAGGTGCGGCACAGCTGAAAGCTTGAGCAGCTGTTGTGTTAAATATGAAATGAGGATCAGTCAGGAGATCAGCTGAAACTAAACAAGGGAAGGGGGCACAGGAAGGGGTCCTCAAAGTTCAACTTTGTCAGTATCTGTTTTATCCAGTAGAGGGTTATCTCACTTAAGTTATTCTTTTGCTTAGAAATGAGCAAAATCAGTAAAACCTGCCATAAATGCTGCCATAAGATGGAGTCAGTCTGCTATCAGTCTGCAATTAAATGGTGTCAAGCCAGTTATTACATTTTTTTGACAATACAGCAATGAAATGTCATAAATCATCAAAAATCCCATATCTGATGTTGTCTACACAGACAGAAATTCACATTTGTTACCTGTGTGCTCAGAAACCTTTGTGTTCTATAGGAATATAACCAGAATAAAACCAACTGGGAGCATACATGCCAACCCTCCCGATTTTTCCAGGAGAATCCTGAATTTCAATGCCCCTCCCAAAAATCTCCCGGAGCCACCATTCTCCCGAATTTCTCCAGATTTTCCACCCGGACAACAAAATTGAAAAACCATATCCCACACTGGCCCAGCCAATTCCAGTTTCCAACAGTGGCTACAACTACTACTTTAGTACTTTACTTTTATATTACTCTTATTACTCTTTCTGGGTCGCAAAATAAACCTTTAACACATTTTCAGGCGAGAATGTAGCTATATCTGATATCTGAGCCGACGAGAACAGCAAACTCCCGACACATTAAACATGACATATAAGTCACTTAGATAACTTAAACATGTTATTGTTTGGCTTTTTTCAGTGTCTTATTTGTTCGTGAGTAAATCGGTTTGGCTGAGATGAAAGTTATTAGATTAGATTAAATAAAATTTTATTAATCCCTCGGGAGGGATTCCACACAGCTGAATAAACGTCAAACAGAAGAAGGTTAGACCGTCCAATTTCACAGTTGCTCACTTCCGGTCTACCCGACTTTCGGAGGACCCGGCCCACTTAGACCGCGAAGGCCAGGTCCGCCGGACAATAATAGCGGTGACATTTAACTTAGTTTATCCGATAAATAAACACTGCAAAATTAAAGGTTTTTTTGTAAATATATGTATATGTATACCCCCCCCCCTTGAATGTCTCCCTAATTCTGAGGTCTCAAGGTTGTCAAGTATGGCTGGGAGCCAGCTGAGATCAGACCCTTGAGTTGGGCTTATTGACAAAGACTCATTCAGACTGATGGCAACATGTTGGCATTGTCTGCAATTTTAGATTAGAGAGTAATACAGGCCTATGACAATCTTTCTACGTCTGTCCCAGGCAGATTGTGACTGCAGAAAGGTTGCCTCCCATCAGGCAGAGGTTTTTTGTAGATGCAGGAAGGTTGCTGTCCTGTCGAGCGAAGTGTGTCCAGTATTTGAATTTGTTTAATAACAAATCGATATTTGGCGTTCCTATCGCCATACAAAATATTAAGATACTCGGCTGTATCAATGTTTCCCCTCACCCCTAAAATATTGTATATGTTATTTTAGGGGTGTTGTATGAACCTGTATATATGAAAATACCATAAAATTCATGCCCATATATGTAGTCTACTGTATCTTTACTATGGGAGACTGTTCTCTCTCTCTCTCTCTCTCTCTCTCTCTGTGAAACCCCTCTCAGCTTGCTTTTGGTCCCTCGATTGCACTTCACTGACTGCTTTCATTCATGTGGCCTCCACCAAGTTTGTTTAAAGAGTTCAGTTGCTGAATTCCTCAACGAGGAGCACCATCCCTTCCCCCAGCTGCCAGCTGCTCTTGCCTGCCATCAGAAATCCTTGCATAAACAATGATTAGCTGTAATCAGTGTGTGTCCATAACAGTTACTGCATGTAACATTATTCTTTTTGTTTTCTCAGCCCACAGTTTTTCCCTATGAAGATTTTGATGTTGTTGCTGACATCAAGGCCATTCGCAAAGCCTGCAAGGGGTTAGGTAGGTTGTGAATATGATGAAAATGGTACATTTTTAAATTAAACTAGACTCCTTGAATTTCAAAAGGATGCATCTGATTTCTCTGCATCTGATCTGTTGTGACTTCTTTTCAGGAACTGATGAGCAGGCTATTATTGACATCCTGGCAAACCGGAGTTCATCTCAGCGTCAGGAAATTAAACAAGCCTATTTTGAAAAATATGATGACGTGAGTGCCATTTGGCAAGTTTCTCATTTCAAATGTGTAAGAAACATTTTTTTCTATGTTTCTGCTAAAATCAGTATGTCTGTCTGGGATAGGAATTGGTGGATGTGTTGAAGAAAGAGCTGTCAGGGAACTTTGAGAAGGCGGTCCTTGCCATGCTGGATCCGCCGGTTATCTATGCTGTGAAGGAGCTCAGGAAGGCAATGAAAGGTCCGGGCACTGATGAGGACGTCTTGGTGGAGCTCCTCTGCACCGCTACAAATGCTGTAACTAGCAAAATATATATTTATATTGACAATGATATTGCAATTCAATTTCAGAGGAAATGTCTAACTTCCTACTTCTTTTTTTTTTAACAGGACATTGCCATGTTCAAGGAATGCTACTTTCAGGGTTAGTACAATAAGCAACTTAGCAGTTTTTAAATCTCTTCTCCTTTTGATGAAATTACTAAGTGTGAGTCATCAACCTACACCTCATACAGTAGCTTATTATTTTTGTCTCTAGTGCTATGTCACATTTTGTTTAGTCAAGGCCCATCCTGTTTCCACTTCCCTTTCATTATTGTGCTGGCGCTGAGAGCTGATTATACTTACCACTATAGCTGGCTATATCCTCTGTGGTTATAGGCACTGAAATCTTATGAGTTTTGAACAGAGTAACCTCTGTTTAGTTTTCTTTTTATAATTATGCATGGAAGGGAATTACATCATTCTTCAAAAATATATTCTAAATATAAGTTTGTCGTTGTAATTTTCTACAGAGTGCGTATGATTATTTAAGAGTTTGTTTTATTAGGATTTAGAATGACTAGAACATTCTTTGGTTGATGTGTTTGATGGCTTTTAATCAGCCTGTGGATATGCTGGTTAGCTGAACAGATTATTAGCATAGCACATGCTTTGTTCTTGTTCTTCGGGTGAACTAGCTAATATGCTATGTTAGCACACTGATAGCTAAAGCTTGCATTTTATAGACGTGAGCGATGACTTTGCTGACTTTGCTAGGTATTGTTGTTTTACTTGGGACAGCATAAAGCTAGCACAATAGCATATGCAGGGCACACTGCTAATAAACGTATAATGAAAAAATTATTAAATGTAATAGCAAGCTTCCATATAGTAGTCAAGCACCATGTTATAGTTATCAAATGTTTTATTGATGCTTTACGGGCCAATAATGAATAGCATAAGAGATAAATAAAACACCAAAAGTACAATTCAACAGTAGTTCAACAATTTTTATTATTAATTTATTAATTATAATAAAATAACAAAATCTTCTTTTCTTACCTCAAGTAAAAGAAGGTTTGTATTCAAAAATAAAAGGGCTGGTTGGAAAATCTTTAAATAAGTTCTCTTCCTGTTTCCATAAATTGAGTGTAAACACAAAGGAAAAGGCTGTGCAGGTTAATATAACTGAAAAATGTTGCACAGAGTAAAATAGAAATGGTCAGACAAATCTAGAAAGACCACTAGATTTGTCTAGTAATTGGTCTGTTGGTCACCTCAGCTATAAAGAATACATAATAGCTTGTTAGAAAGATGCCATCATTCCAGTGCCCAGTCCTAATAGTTTAGAGTGCTGCCCCATTTAACCAGGACTATGACCAAGTATGTGAAAATATTTACTTGAGTCATGTGCTCTGCTTCCAATATTACTTGTGAAGCTAACTAAGCAGCTAACTGCACTACTTCACTTTACACTAGTAACTAGTTTTCTGATTGTTGCTGTACACTTTTATGCACAGCAAGGAAATGAGAATAGGTGAATGGTTGCAGGAAATGGCTAAAATGGTGGATGAAATCTAGGCATATACTAACATAAAATACTATCCAGAAAACACCAACACACTTGTATCGTATAGTAAAAGAATATCTGGTGGTCCTCATGCTTTGTGACTTTTCTCGGTGTCACTCTTGCAGTGCACGAGCGTGATCTTGAAGCCGATATCGAGGGAGATACGAGCGGGGATGTTAGAAACCTTCTCACAGCTCTTTTGCAGGTAAGTGGCCCTGAGTTTCTACTCTACTCGTGTAACTAAATTCCTCCCATCTGTCCCTGGACTGAAATCGAGCTCACTCTCCCTTCGCCATGCCCTGTGAACACACACACTGGCCAACATCCAGACAGCCTCTCACGAGTAAAACGGAGCCCAGATAAAGTTGCGTGAGTCAGAGAAATAGACCTCAGTAAGGACCAAAGTCCTCTTAATTGTCTTCTTCCAGGGCAACAGAGATGAGAGTTATGAGGTGGATGAGAATTTGGCTGAACAAGATGCTATTGCCCTGTTTGAGGTACAGTTTCATTTTTAAATTCTTCATAATGGCATCGTGGCAGATTTATTGACCCTGAAAAACATTAATATTCGCTGAACTGATGCAGGCTGGTGAAAGCCGTTTTGGGACAGACGAATCCACTTTCACCTACATCCTGGCCACCAGAAATTACCTGCAGCTCCAGGCCACCTTCAAGATATATGAGCAGGTTGGTATTTGTGCCCGCTGCTGCAGTGATATTGCATATCTGCTTGCACATATCACATCACTGTTTCCTGACACCTCCTAACAAATCACTACATAAGAAATATTTGTATGTGGAAAGTGAAAGGTTACTCTGTAAGACATTTACAGTGCTTAACTCAACTAGTTATACTCTCTCAACAGCTCTCTGGAACTGAAATCCTCGATGCCATTGAGAACGAGACTGGAGGGACACTGAAAAAATGCTACACTGCTCTCGGTTAGTATAAATTAGAAAGCTGTCCATATTAAAATCTGTGATTCTAGATTTGATTAGAAGATTAGAGAAGCAGTGGTAGCATCAAAATCACATGGCAAACTGCTAGTTTTATGTATACTAGATGACAGGAAAGTACGTTGGGTAAACTCCTATTGTGCTATGTAAATAAAAGTTTGGTGTTTAATAAGCATATTGAAGAAAAAGAAATTGTTGCTGCAGGAACATATGGTTCATAATCTGCTGTGGAATTTAATGAAACCCTTTCCTCCTCCTCACAGTAAGAGTTGCCAAGAATCCCCAGCTTTACTTTGCGAGACGTGTGAACAAAGCGATGAAAGGAGCAGGCACTGATGAGGACACCCTGATTCGCATTATTGTGTGTCGCTCCGAGGTAATTCCGCTAAAGTTGCATGACTTTGTTTATGAGAAGGGGCCAAAGACTGTCAAGCTAAAATACACGATAAAAGATGATTTAAAACATTCACAACATGCTGCGATTACTAAACAGCTCACTGATCATTACATGTGTTTTTACAGTATGCATGTTCTTACACTTTAAAGTCACTTATAAGACTGTTCACTGCCATCTTCAGGCAAACTCTGGTAAATCCTGTCCCCTGGTTTATGTTAAAATACAAACGTACAGTATACAAGATATTTTTAAATGCAAATCAAAAAGAATTCAAACAAGTGCAGAATGTGGATCAGAAATCTACTCCAGAAAATGTAAATGATTTAGGCCCCAGTCACGTAGGTTAGAGACCAGTTGGCAACTGCCTGGCAACCTTTTGTCACTATGGAAAAATTTGTATTCTAGATAAATTATGAGTAGTTGCTTTAGGTTTCTGACAGTCACTGTGAAACTGATGTATAAGCCCTACTCACAGAGATTTAAAGTCAGTAACCTCATGGTAACCACTGGTTGCTACAGAAAAATGTGTATTCTCAAAGTGGTTGGCAAGTGGTTGCAGAAGACTGGTGGCTCTAGCTTTGTAAAAACTGGTTGCAAAAACAGGTATATGTTGCTGCAACTAAAACTTCTATGTGATTGCTTTGGTCACCACAGTTATCAGCAATTTGCATAGAAGCACCATTTCAGAATCAACTCCCGGATGTTATCTAGTGATACTGGGCAGTACTCCCAGTAACTTCAGGTTGTCAATTCCACACCGTCTTTGCGAGCACTTTCACCCAGTAACTTATAGTGACTGCTAATTAACCAGGTGGGGAATACACATTTTTCCCTAGTGACCAGAGGTTTCTAGGGAATCACTGGCCTGTCTCTAGGCTTGTGTGAGTGAAACTGTAAACATGAGTTTGTCTTCTCCACATTTGCTAGAGGGTCAAGTTGAAACTGATTATTTCCATCATATTATATTTGGTAAATTCCCATGGGTTGACTTCTGGCAGGCTCGACATAAAGGCTAATTTAATTTTGTGGTTCTCTTTTTTTCAACAGTATGATTTGGAGACCATCAAAGAGATGTACCTGGAGAAGTATGATGTGTCCCTTAAGGACGCCCTGAGGGACGAGTGCAGCGGTGACTTTAAGCGCCTCCTTCTCGCTATCTGCCACTGAAAACCAGAGAGCCAGGCAGGAAGGACGAGGGTTGTCTGGTTAACAAACTAACTGGTGGGGCGATTAAATAATTAACTTGGCTCGTGTCTTGTCCAAACTGACTTACTGTTAATGTGGTTGGCTCTCTATTTTACCTCCTTTACAGACGCTGACCTTGATTCTCTTACTTAGAACTTATCAGTGAGTGAAGCTGTGTCTCACAATTACTGCCCATTTCTTAGTCAATTTTTAATCTTTAATTAACCAGCATTTATATAGTGGCCAGTATAAAGCACCAAGATTTCTACAACAAAAACAGGAGCCAGCTGTAGTCACACTGAATCAATTAGAGCGAGCGTGGCGTGATCAGGTGGCTTAAGACTTGATAAGATAATGACGTTAAAAACATAAGACCCGTATTTGCTTCGCTACCTGATTCTCTTTGCATTCACTAATCTATTAAGACTTTCATGTAAGTATTATACTTCTTTAGATTAAAGACCTTTTTCACCCTCCGTGCCCCAAACTGTGCCTGTTATAACTAATGCAATCAGTCAGCATGGCTTTGTGCTTTTAAATGAAGAAATGTGAAATTTCGAGTTGAAGGAGAATTAGCTGGCATCATGAAGGCTATGCAATGCAATGGACTTGAATCTGAACTGTTCTCACAGCAGCGGTTATATATTTTATCAGTTTCTCATTTAAATAAATTATATATTGATATATATTTAGTTGCAAAAAAAAAAGGAATTGACAAATCCAAATACACCTCTCCTTGTTATACATGTATTTTTTTTTTAATATATTTTATGACTAACAAAGAAGAGTGTTTAATGCTGAGCATTATTTAGCATACTGCTTAGAATAGACCAGAGGGTGTGTGAAAAGAAATCTGATCGTGATGTTCAGGTTGATTTTTAACATGTGGAGAATCTGATGTCTGTGTCATTTATGTGTCCGTTACTGGCAGCTGAGATTTATTCTTATGAGTGACCACTATTATAAACATTTTGCAAAAAGATACTCAAATAACTTACAGCACATGAGATAGTCACAGCATCAGCCTGCTTATTAGCTTCTATATAGCCAAAGAATTTTAGTCTTACTGCTAATAAAGTTTCCTCTAATGTCATCATGTCTGACTTTATTCATACCTCAGTAATCCAAATGGCCTGGAACATGAACACTGAACATGTTACACTGAATGGGAAAAGTCTTACTATCATTTTATGTTCCGTGAAAGGAGACCCCGCCTTCAAGTTTGTCACCACCCCTTTGCTGCTTTCGAGGACAATGGGAAATGTGGTAACAGCATGTAAATGTAATTTAATTTAGGAAATCAAAATGGGAAATGTTCACATGTAAAGGAGACAGTTAACCAAGTTGGGAGGTAAGTGTTGAGCTTTCTTTTATTAACCTCAAAATATCTTTGAGATTGTAAGAATATTTGTTGTACCTTAACAAACACATTAACTCAGTGGATAAAAAAATAAAAACTAAAGAAAGTAGGTTACTATTGTTGTGTGCACTGAGGAAGATTGAAGCCTCAGTAATGAAATTTACCAGAAACCCCAGACACAGACAAGTACCTACTCTTTGACTCACACTGGAACATAAATGTGGGGTGATCAGAACCATACAACACTAGCCAGTGAAAATTCTCTCTGTGGAAGAAAAGAAAAGAAATACACATTTGAAAAACAAAACTAAAAACAACTCTTAAAACCTTAAATCCTAACTTGGCCTTCATAAAATCAGCAAAGACGCACAAGAAATAATGTCAAACATGAATAAATATTATTTCCTATTCTAGTTCTGCACTTAAAGTACCCACTCTGGTGATGGTGTGAAAGAGTTTAAAAACAATTTTCCATAGTATTATTAGAAAGTTTAAAGATTTAGAAACACATTTTCAGTCATTTCTGGGGGAAAGAAGATCACGGGTGATTGGCATTTGCAACAGACAACATTTGCAACAGTGAATGCAGCCATGATTGTTGTGTCATTGTTGTTGCATCATCATGGAGATGAATAATGAGCCCAGACACACATCAAAGCTTTGCAAGAACTATGTGAAGACCTTCTGAAAGTGAGAAACTATCCAAAGATTATTTTTAATGATTTAAAGTTTGACTTTTTAGCTCTGGATATCGTATCACAATCAATATGCTTTTGGAGCTAGCCTCAAATGGCCACTGCTTTGAACATGATTAATCAAATTTTGATCACAAGTCAATCACATCCTAAAGTTTTACAAACTCAGAAACAATTTGTTGGTGTGATCTCCTGAACCCATCTCGGCTATTATCGTAGTTGCTCTTTCTATAATGTTTTTAAGGTTTTCAAATTAAGGTCATATGCTTTATCCCATAGCTCAGAACAATAACTGAGATAAAGCAAGATTCAAAAAAGAAAATGCTTTTTGAGATTTGATTGACCATATCTTATATTTTCAAGAGAGCGTATCATCTGCTAGTAAGAAATTTGATTCAGTCACATTTTCAATCTTTGTTCCAGTAATTATAACACCATTGTTATTTAATTATTAACAACGTCCAACAATGCATTTAATACATTGCCAGCCGGCTAGAAAACGCACATTTGCTTGGTAAGTAAAAGGTCTGGTTTGTTTCCAGACACAAGTCAGGGCATCCGGTGTAAAACTCATCAGCAAAAGGTACATATTGGATATATAGAACATATCGCACTCCAACTGTTACATCCAGAAATTGCTTTTTATAATCATGGAGCTCTACTAATGATTTCCTGTTACTTCAAGAACTTTGCAACCAGTTACGTTGGCTATACCTCTGAAACGACAGCGCCACAGTTTTGAAATCAAAGTTACAGTTACGAGAAGCTTGACTTTCTGTGGAGCACCTGAAGGCAGCTCCATGGCCCCGCCCCTCTGCCAGACACGCACGTTACAGTACTCCCTCATTTTCTCACCCGTCTCTGTTTATATTTCCCTCCAGCCAAGTGATTTACTCCAGGTGAATTTTCAGCTGACAGCAGGACAAACAGGACGACATTATCACCTCCACTTTTATCCGCTGGACTCTCTTAAAGGTACGTTGTCCTGCGTGTTTCACCGGCTTTGTTGCTTGCTCCCCTTTCCCCCTTTTTTGCTGGTAATTACAGTCATTAGCATCCATCTTGGTAGGAGCTAATTAAACCCACTGCAAGGAGACATGTTTAGCCCTGTGTAGTCTTCTAAACGTTGCACCGTTGTGTGTTTTGTAAGGTTTGTAACTTCTGTCATGCTAAATATCCTTATTTAAAACACTTGCCGAACACATTTATGCTTCTGTAATTAACATAGAGGTTAAAAAAATAACATTGGTCTTGCTTCTGCATTGAGCCCCATGTTTTTCTCTTAATAGCTTCGGATCACCTCACGGATATTAATGTGTTTTTTGGACTCAGATTAATCACTGCAGCACTTACTCACTTACTTGTGTTTTGGTGCTTCAGCTTGTTAAAGAGTTAGTCAACATCTCCATGGAAACACCAAGTTAAGCAGTGATGTCCACTTCCTCCAGTTTACACAAGCAGATAAACTACTGTCATTTTGATATACTGCATTAAGGAATTGAGCACCTAAATGCACCACTTATCTTGTGGCTGCAGCCATTACATCTTACACTAATACTGTGCAAGACTGCAAATTATCAATAGATAACTGGTATAGATCAGATACATAGTAAATACAAGGCCAGTATTCTGAATCATCGTGAGTTCATGCAGGAGTTAATGCAGATGTGTCATTAGTGTTTTTTTTATCATGATGTTGTGATTCTGTGTTAATTTTGTGATGATTTTATATATACATTCTTTATTTATCCTGGCAAAAGTCTCATTGAGATGAGACTGAATCTCTTTCCAGAGAGATCTGGCCAAGAGGAACCACGTGAACTTGAATTTGTTTTCATTTAACACCCGTTCAATTATGTTGTATTAAATGGGCGACACAACTTAACATAATAAACATAAGTTCAAGTTGCTAAGACTTTCTCAAAACTTTAGTATTTCCACAAAAGTTGCAAAAGAGAAATTATACAATGAGGACTTTGATTACAGCTACAAAAAATGCATCTTCAAATATTTATTCTGTTCATCTGGACGTAGCGTTTTCAGTGGGAGAAACGTTTCGTCACTCATCCAAGTGACTTCTTCAGTCTCAGAATCAACACAGTTGAACAGAATCAACTTTTGGAGATTTACTTACCTGGATGATTGAGCATGCATCAAGATGTTTTACAAAAAATACAGTTTGGTTGCATTCTGGGAAATGGAGGTTTTACATAGCTGCTTCACTTTTGGCCCAGCCTTTGACGATTAAAAGAATATATACGTATATTAAATTCATTAAAAGGGATTTTTCTTACAAACGTTAACCACTGACATTTGTCCAGTCTCTCACGATTGGCGTCTGCTGGTGCAGGAATTTATGGAGACGTATGATGAACTATTTTTGCTTAGCATTTAGTCAGTGTGTTGTGATCTCATTGTTTTGTTTTGTTTTTTCTTTTTTGGTTGACTTTTATACATCGTTTAAACAGAATTACTGTGCTGCAACTGAAATTGAAAGGTGCTGCTCAGTTGCATTATGGGAAATGTTTTGGCCTCACTGGTTTAAGAGCTTAGATATGATGAGAAATTCTGCTTCAGTTTTGGCCCAACTTCCAGCAAATAAAGCTTCATATTTCTAACAGAAAATTGTATGTATCTACATTTTTTTTTCAGTTAAATATTTAAGCTTTGACAATACTCTTCCTCCTCCTCTTCTTTTACTGTACTTTTTTAAGCCACTCCCATTTGGGGTTGCCACAGCTCCATCTGCCTCCATGGCACTCTATCCCTAGCATCCTCCTCTGTCACACCAACCACCTGCATGTCCTCCTTCACTACATCCATGAATCTTCTCTGTAGTCTTCCTCTCATCCCTCTACCAAACAGTTTATTATTCAACATTGTTTGTCCAATATATCCACTATCTCTCCTCAGCACATGTCCAAACCATCTCAGCCTTGCCTCTCAAACTTTGTCTCCAAAACATTCAGCAGAGACGTCCTTCTGCAGCATTCATTTCTAGACGTGTCCATTCTGGTTATTCCCTGTAAAAATGTTAGCCTTGAAAATCTTCAGCTACGTCACCTCCAGCTCTTTTTTTTTCAAGTGCCACTGTTTCCAAACCATACATCATAGCAAGTCTCACTACCATCTTAAACCATTAGAGACATTAAAGAGACATAAAGAGACATTAGATCATTTTGGTTTTCAGTGCATAAGTGTACATGCTACACTTTGCTACTTTCAGACAAAAAGTTTGATTGATAGAAACCAATTTTGAGTTCATTTGGTGGCATAAAATTCATTATGTAAAGAGAAAAGTGTCCAAACTCACAAGTCATGTTATTTACATTTATTTTATAACTTGTCACCCACTCTTCCTCCTACCTTGAAGAGTTTTTATCCTTTCAACACAGAGCCAAGCTCACCCTTCAAAGTCTTGTAAATACAGGGTGTGCGTCTTCATGTGTTGCAGGCAGCCTCTGATATTTGATCCCACTGTAAGTGCCACAGTAGAAATGATAAACAAAGCTTTCTTTACCTGCAGAAGCAGCTGTTTGTTTTATGCATGTGAGGAGGCTGAGCCACATTTGAAACTGCTACCAGAAGTCTGTGACAGTAAACACTAGAATTTAGCTTAAAACATACAACACTTTAGATCGAGCGTTGTTGCATTACTCAAAAATATTTTCCACTTGGAGTTTACCTTCCACATCTTCCCAGTAAAGGTGTGCCAGATTCAGAAACCTCTCCTGACTAACAAAGTACATTTCATGTTAATGAGTGATAAAAAATTAGAAAAACAGCATAACACTGTAGTGAAGCAGAAATTAGGACATAATCAATCATTGATTAACTTGTGCTTTGTTCATGATGTCCTATTGAGTGTAGTAATGTGTGGTATGTTATGAACTCATGGTTCTTGATTAATAAATGACGAGGCCTTTGCACAAATGCTCACTGCAGCAGTAAAGCAGACAGATTATTTTTAGTTTAGTTTTTTATCTTTTTCAATCATTAATCATCAATCATTTACCAAAGGCCCACAAACCCACTGATGTCACGAAAAGCTAACACTCGGGTCACTTACTTATTTAACTGCACTCAATTTCTGATCAATGTGACGTCAGTTATAGAGGATAAAAATACCGTAGTGGTTCCATTAATGCACTTAGTGCATTATTCTGATGTATAGATACTCAGAAGTTGCTATTCCTCATGCATTATTACCGTGTTTCAGACATGATAAACGTCAGATAAACGTTTTGCAGTTTATAGCTATTCAGTTCAATTTGATTGATATAGTACCAAATCACAAAAACAGTTGCCTCAAGGCACTTTAAGGTAAACGCCACAATATTAGGGTTAAATTAAACCACCTTTTAACAGGAAGAAACCTCTGGCAGGGCTCAGGGAGGGGCAGACTTCTACTGCAACCAATGGGGGTTAACAGGAGGGACACAGGACAAAAGACACACTGTGGATATTCATAGTAACTACTGATTAAAACAATAACTAATGATACATGTGCTTTTAACTAAGTATTTTTGTTTCAGTGTTTTAGCACAGAAGAGATTATCTCATAGTTTGGATTGAAGATCTCATAGTGCTGTTTAGTGTTTCATTCAGGAGCAGAAAAAGTAGCAAGCACCCTTCACTGATCCATGAAAGGTGTCTGAACATCGATGTCTGAACATAGTTTGAAATGTGAACATCTTCGGCCACCCAGTAAATAAAATTAGAAAACCTTAATTAAAAGTTCTTTAGAAGAACAGTAGAAACATTTAATAAAAATTTGATTTGATTGAATTTCAGAAAACCAAATAAAAAGTTTATTTATTGTAAATGACTGTGGCCCCTGCAGTGGATTAACTGCCTGTCTAGGGTGAAGCCTGCCTCTCGCACTATTACAGCTGGGATAGGTTCCAGTTCTCCATGACACGTACTGACATGACATGTACTGGATATGTAGAAGAAAATAGATATGTGGCCTACCTGCAGTACCCTCATATCCCACCAGAGGACTGTGGCGCACACTAGCATAGATGTTTTTGTAATATAATAGGAGTGGGCAGTAATTTTCCCAAGGGGCCACATGACAAACAGGGATTATTTGGGTTGAACCAAAAAGCTGAAGTCAGTTCTACTCAAAATTAATTTTACCCTTTAGAAACTGTTGTTGGTTTCTGGTAGTGAATGATTCAATAGTGTAGAGGTTAAGATATTCGGCCAGCTCAAATATGTAGGTCCATACTGGTTGTGGTGACTTCTTCTTCTTATACACTTTATTGTGTTGTTTCTTTGTTTGCTTTTTATGCAGTGTGTGCAAACACGTTTGTTTTTCTTTTTCTGTTTGAAAAATGGCAGCACGGTGGTTAGCACTGTTGCCGCACAGCAAGAAGGTCCTGAGTTCAATTCCAACATCAGGCCGGGGTCTTTCTGTGTGGAGTTTGCATGTTCTCCCCGTGTTTGCGTGGGTTCCCTCCGGGTACTCCGGCTTCCTCCCACCGTCCAAAGACATGCAGCTTGTGGGGATAGGTTAATTGGATAATCCAAATTGCCACTAGGTGTAAATGTGCGAATGAATGTGAGTGCGAATGGTTGTCTGTCCCTGTGTGTTGGCCCTGCGACAGACTGGCGACCTGTCCAGGGTGTACCCTGCCTCTCGCCCTATGACAGCTGGGATAGGCTCCAGCGCCCCCCGCGACCCTGAAAAGGATAAAGCGGAAGCGGATGGATGGATGGATGTTTGAAAAATACTATGTAGACTATGTAGAAACTATGTAGAGCTTGAACACCTGCTCTCACTATACAAAGTCCGTGTGTGACCATTCCCATGTTTGGTAACAGCCAGCTCACAGAGGAAAACATTGCACCTCTATGTTTTAGACTCACTGTCAACCTCTGGATCTGTTATGATGACGATGATGGGAAACAGAAACTATTATGTGGCTGTTTTCCATGAGAGGCCACATGAGTCATTCTACATGGAAAAAACCCTGCTAACTTCTTCAGGTATCCTGCATAATGTTATGTTAAAATAGAGGTAAATTAAATAATAATAATTAAACTTCTAATCAAGCATCTGATGACCTTTCCTTGTAATTATGAGGCAGTAAATCAGAATTATGAATTGCAGAGATCATAATTGAAAAATAAAATATCCTGTTCATCTTTTCTTTAATGAACATAATGCATAAACAGATTTTCTTTCATTATTTAATATACAAAAGTCATATCTGCTTATTAGTTTGTTTCAAGCTATTTTAAGCATTGCTAATTAATAAATAATAGTTGTTTCAGTCCTTCATCCAGATCATCAACACTTCTAAAACTGGGTGCATCCTTACATACAATTTGGAAAATGTCCTTTCTTTACAAGTGAATCTAGAAGATAAAATCTATTTTCTTCTCAGAGTAAACCTGACTGCAGCTAAAACTATATGCCTCAGACCTACATATGGACTAAAGCCTGCTGTGCATGACCTACAGCGTGATAGTAATATCGCCTTTGTTATGTTAATTTTGAGTGACAGCTCTTGATGCAGCCAGCCATGCATTAAATGAGGCCGTAGAGGGTCGTCATACTGCGTGAGCATTGTTCAGGTACTAAAGCGCTTTGAGTCATGTTTCGGTTTTACATCAAGCCTTCATTTGCTCAGTAGCACGTTGCACGAACTGGTGATGTTATCTCGTAATTATGACTTCTGTAGCTCGTAATTTTAACGTACCATCTCATAATTAGAAGATCTGCATCTTTTAAAAATATCTCATAATTGCAAGATCTTCATCTCTTAATTACAAGATACACATCGCTTAATTACAAGATCGTATCAAGTTGCCATGGATACAGCTTTGGTGCAGGTTTACTTGCAGAGAGCTGTTGATGGTAAACATTGTAACAATGCAAGCCACCACATGTGAGTAATCCTTTGGTTTGAACCTGTAGCTTTGTGCAGGAACACAGGTGGCTGACTTTTTTCATAGTTATAAATCACATTTGCTTGTTTTTTCTGAACAATAAAGAAATACTAAATGATCCATTCTTAAAACTGTGTTATGCATTAGGCAGTCCAAAAACCTCATGATGCTTCATTGTCTTAACTTTTTACCGAATGTACAGAATTGTTCTCACTTTGTATCATCTCTTGCTGACATCATGTAAAACCAACAATGAAAAACTGAGTGTCGAGAGCTGTCTGGAACCTGAGGCTGAACCTTGGCTCACAGGGATTACTTGCACATAGGCCAACGTCTTCATTTTAAACTGTGGTCACATTTAACATGAGTAACATAAGGAAGGGCATAAGTCCACATATCCATTCATTAAACCAAAAAAATACAGCTGCAGTCCTGAGAAAAATCACTGCCAGTGGCATCCTGTAAATCTCCATGAACAGAAATTTGCAGATGATTTTGCAGAGTCAAACTCAAGATTGTTGGTAATCGAAGAATTCTGGTTTCTTTCCATAGTAATGACTAGTTAACATTTGAGCATGGTCCCGTTGAACAGCACAGGAAGTACTACATTTGCTGAATAGTACTCTCAAAACCAGTAAATATAATTTAAAATGTGTCGA